CGCCAGTCGGACTCACGAGGTCTGGTCGTCGGTGAACTCCAGCTCTCCGCGGGCGTCCTCGTAGTCCACCCCGCCGCCCTTGGCGCTGCCCTCCTCGGTGTGGTACGGCAGGACGACGGTGCCCCTGGCGCCCGAGTTGCGGAGCACGCTCACCTCCATCGTGCCCACGCTCTCGCTCACCCGCAGCACCCGCTCCCCGAAGGTGAAGATGCCCGCGTGGTCGTCGTCCAGGATGGTCACCGTGGTGACGGCGGGCTCCGCCAGCCGGGCCTTGGGCCCGCCGGGCCCGTCTTCGCTCTCGAACATGCCCTCGGCGTCGCCCACGCGCAGGTTCAGCAGGCGGACGAAGAAGTGCTCGTCCTCCTCGAAGATGTCGTCGTCGATAATCCCCACCTGGCACAGGGCACAGGGCACAGGCTGGGCTCACTGACGAGCCGGGCCCGGGCGGGTCCAGGAGGGTCCAGCACGGGCTGGGTCAGCACCAGACCAATAACAGCTCATTGTCACGAACGATTAACTAGTGCCTGAAGGTGGAGTCTGCACCTGAAGAGCTCAAGAGACAGTAAACCCACCGTGGACAAGCTGTGAAGCAGCAAAGTCTGTCACTCACAGCAGCTGATGTGTTGCAGTTCGCTGTCCCTATGAACACCTCCTCTTGCACTGCTGCTAACCACCATTACTGATGCTCACTCTCGTCCTCGAGGTCGACAGCCACTGGGTGGCGCTCTAACATATGTTTTTTTAAAGGCCAAGTCGCTATTGCTGTGGTACAGGAACCCTTAGCAACAGGCCTCACAAAAAACATCATTTTGCCACATTATTCAGTCAAATCTATGACCCTTTTAGTCACAGTCTAGAGCCTCATGCTACTGCTGCTACTAAACCCCTGCTGCTGCTACCAGTAATAGGAGGAGGGCCAAGATTAATACAGCACAGGAACCGAGACAATTAGAGGGCTCGTCAACCTCCGCAGTGGCACTGGCACAATCCCAGCGTCCTCAGCGCCAGTGCTCCAGGACCGGAACCGAGCCGGTCTTTCCCAGCACAGCTGGACAGGGACTGAACTGGGCCCAGTTCCAAAAAGACAGCCAGGAGAGGGACCTCAGTTTCCTGAGGACTGGAGTCGAGCGACACTGGAACAATCCCAGTGTCCTCAGCGCTAGTCCTCCAGGACTGAAACCGAGCCAGTCTCTCCCAGTACAGCTGGACAGGGACTGAACTGGGCCCAGTTCCAAAAGGGCAGCCAGGAGAGGGACCCCAGTTTCCTGAGGACCGGAGCTGAGCGACACTGGAACAATCCCAGCATCCTCAGCGCTAGTGCTCCAGGACTGAAACACAGGGACCCCAGTTTCCTGAGGACCAGAGCCGAGCGACACTGGAACAATCCCAGCGTCCTCAGCGCTAGTGCTCCAGGACTGAAACACAGGGACCCCAGTTTCCTGAGGATCGGAGACCCCCTCCCCCCCTCACCTGGATCTCCTTGCGGGTCTCCCCGGGCTTGAACACCAGCGTGCCCTCGCTGTACTCGTAGTCGGAGCCGGCGTTGGCCGAGCCGTCCTCGGTGCGGTAGTCCACGTAGAAGGTGCTGGCCCCGGCGCCGCCCTGGC